TTTTCTATTTAACCGCGAATGGCGAATGGCCAGAGCCGCTGGGCAGCCTACGCAAACTCTTCTCGTGCGTGCACAAGCATATAACATCCAGCGAAACACAAAACTTTGTCTTTTGTCATCAACATGTTTCAATTCGTTTAACATTTATATAAAAACATAGGCATGTGGATGTAATGTGCAGATTTGATTGTTTTAATGTAGTTTGTAATTGTCGGGCACAAGGCCGACATGGACATGCACGAAGAAAATTCGTGACCTAACGACATAACATTTGGTTTTTTTCTGATGTTGATGACATGCGATTGTAATGTAAGTATAACAAATTGAAAACACGTTTCGACCTCGTTGTGCGAGGTACACGAGTTGTCTACTGCCATTACACGCATCGGTAGAAACTAATAAACGGCACCAATTTGGGTAGTATTCCTATGGAAAATATTATTTTATGTTTGTTTTTATTTTATGTTCTTTTTCAAAAGATTTATGGGGAATTTTCTTCGCGTATGTGTTTTATTAAGTATCAAGGGTGTGATTTGATATCTTTATACATTTTTCTGAGAATGTCGTTAGTATTATCTAAATAGAGCAATATTTTCTTTTTAATGTAGAAAAAGAAAACAAGAAAAAAATACACCAGCAAAATATATATAAAAAATTAAATTAGTTTTTCTATTAATGTTAATTTAAATATAAATTCATTTAAATTTTTTTGAATAAAAATGCAAAAAATGACTAAATGAAGTTAAATTAATTACATACTTTAACAGAATAAAATGCAAAACAACAAATATTTTAGTTGGTTCGAATTAAATTCAATTAAAATCATTTTCATCCACAACTCCTATCAAATAACACTGATAAATTTAACAGAAAATAACGAGTTCCACAACACAACGACCCATGTTCCCCAAAAACAAATTATTACTAAAAGTGTTACAATTCTCTTCCGATGCCCAACCCCCATTACATTTTTTCCGCTCGCTTTTTTATTCGATGTAAATTTAAACATAAAAAATTTCCACAACGCTGTCTGTACTAGACAACAAATTGCATGTTTTATATTACGTTAGCGCACCGCCCTTCCGCCTCCATCCCGTGTTTGTCGACTTTCCGGCCGGCGTTTTTGCATGTTTTCACATTGTGCGTCGTATTTAAACGAGCGCATTTTTTCCGCAATTATTTTTCATCTATTGTTACAGAGCCACGCCAGCGCCGTTAGTCGAAAGCATTAGTTTAGTAATTTTAAACAAGCGCGCCGAATAAAGCACGGTGGGTTGCGGACGCAAACGGCCTCTCGCAATTTGATTTATATCGTCACAGGATTTCGGGATAAAATCGCACACAAAGCACCCCTGCGAGGACGACCGCACACACCAACATTACCGCGGTGCAACAATCAACATGGGTCACAACCTGGACGATTAAGGGTTGATAAATGGATGAGTAAGTCGTAGAAATCTCAAGATGGAACAATGTTATGCAATTTAATTGCGAACAAAGAAAATTATCCGAATTATAACATAAATTTAAATATAAAATAATATAAATCATAGAAAATTTAATGTTTTAACACCCAGTGTAATTAATATTAAACGTAAAGAGGCAAAAGGGGTGCAAATTAATTTACGTTTGGCTGCACATCTCTTTGAGAGGGCGGCCGCAAGCCCATAGGTATATACCCAAGTGTGCGTACGTGCGGCGGCGGAGGCGGCTTATCGCGTTTTCTTATCACTGCGTTCGGTCGTAACTATTAAGTCCCGTGCATGCACGAGTAAATAAACGCACTGCAAACGCGTTGGGGGTTGCGCGCGGAAACTTCAAGGCGTTGAGCCTCGATCGAAGTTAAAGTTGAGTCTAGTTGATGCGATGCGCATCAGAAGCTTGCAGAGTTTCGGCTAGAGTGGCTAGACAAACACATCCCGATGCGTTCGCCTTAATGTGGTGGAGGCGCCGGGTCATGCGGTGCGTGTGGTATGAGGGCAACTAAGCTTCAGACTAAGTGCGAACCCATTCAACGCGTAATTATAAAGGCACGGGGGCGAAAGCAATTTAATTGTGACGACCACATAAACGCCCAAACGGAAGACATCAAAGCATGCAAAAGTTTAGTTCAAGAACAAAAAAAAATTAATATCACAAAGATGAAAGAATGCGAATGTCAAGGATAAAACTCTTCAAGGATAATTTCCAATGAAAACTTGCGCGGAATGTTTTTCAAGGCTTTCGCGTAGATTCCCTGCATGCTTCATAAATATGTCAAGAGTCTCGGCATTGCGCTTGTTGTGTTCCATCCCCCCATGTAACAAAGGATTACGATGCTACTTAAAAAGAAAACAAGAAGAACGACGCTTACAACTACCGCAAGTTTTGTCCATGTAGTAATAGTATTAGATTTTGTTTGACAGGTCATCAGGTAGTGAATAATTGTCCCTTGTCTTTTCATGTCCCTACAAAGAGCAAAAGTTGGAAAAAGTCAAAATTGATTTGTACTAACTGAAGTAAACAAACCACAAACCACCAGCGTATCCTACAGGTGCTTCAGAAGATGATAGATTAAGGAAATAAGACGTCTGAACTTGGCGAAGAGAAAGTCGCCGGCAACGAAAATACAATGTGACAGTCAGTGCTGAAATAGAAATTACAGGAATAGAACTAAGGATGAAAAAACAATGCGCGCCTGGAAGACAGTTACAAATGGTGTATTTTGTAAGCAGAAGAAGGAAAAGAAACTCACTTGATATGGGTTATTTTTATCCCATTTTATATCCGAAAATAATTCAGTGTGACAAATTCGCAAAGTTTGATTTATCACACACGACACCAGACACTCTGTATAATTTCCATTTACCTGTGTCACTTTTTCCATGTTCAACCAGCACGCTACGATAGTTTTGCTAGTGAAATTATTCACCTCTCGTACTTTTGACACTTCCAACCCGACTGCATGCCATCGCCGGCGACAGAAATTAATTACCGAAATATGTTCCTCGTCGCGACGGCGTGAAATTCGGCAAATTTTCGCGCCTCCACTCGGCAATCAGTCATAGACCCTCCAGGTAACAGGCATGTAATGATATTTAAAGCCCGAAGCGTTATGCGACTAAATTGCGCTGCTTCCGGTTAACGCATCCACCTAACACTCACACGCACACACATTTCCAGGATCTAGGTACATGAGTATCATATGAGAAGAGTGGCAGACACGCTGTTGCTACTTAGTTGGTTAGTAAGCGTAGACTTTCCCTTTTAAATGATGTATAGCGGGCGCACAACACGTCATCTAGATTAATGTCTAGGCATACGCGTCACAAAGGACTAAGAGGTCCTCGGCGTGCATTATGAATTACGTCGGCTGGCGCCAGGACTCCGGCGGACAAGCATTTGTTATGCGATGTGGACGGATGTTGTGGCTCTGGCGCGGTTAATTAGTTTCTCCTTTCTTCTACCAATGTGCGAGCATTAAAAAAACTCAACGCGATACAGAGTTAACGAAATCTATTGTTTGTGCAGGATGTGAGGGGAAATTCGAGTTCGGTCGGCAGGTAGTCGGGAATCGAGAACAAATGAGTTTGATCACATTCATCAAGGGTTATTTCTGGAGTACAGCTAACGATCGTACTAATTATACCCCCGAAGGATAATTAACACATACACATTGTAAGTTATACTTAATTTGATAAACGATAATGGTTATAACTATACAAAAATTAGAATATTGGGATACATTTATAAACTGTCACTAATTATCCTTGAAAATCCTGTGTCCTGTTATCAGAAACGAAACCCGCGCTAATTATCATAGAATTTCAGTGAGTCACCATAACACAGGACATGAATAATAGGCATTGTGATAGAATCAAAACCACGAAACCCGATCGCATAAACAACAGAGCGCGGTGGCGGCAGGCGTGCCGGCAACAACCACGGACGGATTGCGCCGCGCCGAAATGGTTGATGGCAAAACGTGACCCACATCAATTACACCGCGCGTCCGTATCTCAGTCAGCTTCGATTCCACGCACGCAATTCGCGTACACCAAACCAGGCAGCAAAACAAACTCTATGATGCAAGCAGGAAGGATGATATCTACAAGGGGATCAGCAATCAATTAATATAATCCAAAGTATATCGCGCATTAAAAACCCATCAAATCCACCAGAAACCATAAAACACAGCCGGTAATAAACTCATATATTTCGCTGTATATAAATCAAGTGCTCAAAACAAAAACTGCAACTAGGCTAAAAGTTGAGTTTATTAGTGGATTTACTTTGGCGAACGCCGGGTATAAATGTGAATCCTTCATCGTTAATTAAATCAGACGCCCGTCATTATTCATGAATTAAAATACGAAATATATTCTGCAGATACTAAGATAGAATTTGCTTCGAACACCGCGCTTTGATGATTCGTATGCCTCTTTCCATGACGCCTATTTCTGCGCGTTAATTAATCATTAACCGTACGTCGGTGCGTCGTGCACGCCCCAATTATCCTTCCAGGCGTGTATTAATTTTAGCCAACATGAACATCATTTACTATAGGTATATGAAGTCCAGTGCTGACGTCATACAATTCCATTTGCAATTTTAATTTTATTAAATTCTTGCTTTTGTCCGCTTAGATTTTAATAAAATAAATAGTTTACTTATTGCTTTCGTGCTCATATGACAAAGTATTAAGTGTTGATTCCAGGAATAAGATATTCCTTTATATTTTAAAGAAATGAGAAAAGCTAATAATGCAGTTTTGCTCTATCGCAATCGGAATTATCATTTCAACTTTCATCCCTTATTCTACACCCTTCAAGTTATATTTATGCAACAAAAACTATCCTATTTTATTTTCCTTAGTCTGAAATATCTCTATACCAAAATTTATCAAAATTAGTTCAGTGGTTTCCGCGTAAGAGCGTAACAAACATACAAACAATCTCCCAGACGCATTTATAATATTACCTCGGATAAAAAATCAAAAACTAAAGTTGATAAACACTGACCTGCTGGAATATTTCCGTTGGGTTCTAACCTATCTAGGAATTCGTCACTGTAGCCGTTGTAGTGTAGCTTTCGCTCATCCTGCTCTTCCTTCGAGACGGCTGTAACAAAATAAACAAATATTATTACATGTCATAAAAGCCAATGTTAAATCAGCAAAATAAAATAAGTAAAGCTCATGCAAAAGCTCATGAAAAACAAGTCGAAACGAAGTTAATCAATCATTTTGTTGGCTGTTTTTTGTGCTTGGTTTACTTCGTTTTATGAGAGTTCCCGCTGGAATTGCGTAATGCGAATTTCGTATTGCGATGTTGGTCGTTCGTCCTTTTGACCTTCATCTATTTTTATATATGCCGTTGATCTGCGATGCGCGCAGCATTGCCAACGCTTCAATTCGCGTTCGGGGTGTTATTTTTGTTTTCTGCTGATAATGTAAGTTCTGCGTGGGAGAATTTGTTCCCGGGAGTGAATAGCGGTCGATAAAACGCAAAGTGTACAAAAGTCGATGGGAACAGACATCCAGGCGTCCGCAGAGGTAGTAAACTGAACCGCAAGAAAGCATTAGAAACCTGAATCTGGTATAATTCGATTGAATAACCCAATTTGTCAAAATGCGACTTTGTTATCAATCTCCTAGTTTCACTAAAAAGCCTGATTACAGATGCCATGATACTATTAACCCCTATAATTTCCAACGCAGTTAATATTAGTATTCATGAGGAGTTACGACTTGGCTGAATTTCTACTCAGTCCCGTTTGCGGGCTCGTTTCGGGTGCGGGCGCAACCCGAATTTCAGGGTTCACATTCAGCGCCAGCGTCTAGGCCGTTTCCGGCGCTTCCGTTCATTTACATTACACCGCGCCGGCGTTACATAATTGCCAATTGGCGTTATGTTCGGAACGCAACCGAAGTTGAAGCAGACGCAGACACCGACGCCGCACTGTCGGTCGCAGAACTGGATCGTAATAAAACGATGACGGTTCCGAGATAAGGGAGCAAACCAGGCGAACCGACCCAGGAATTTCGACCCGCTGCGCCCGCTCCCCTTTTGTCGTCACCGTTTAGTCGAGATCGGACGGCGCAATCCCATTCTACATCATCAACACTCTGCGAACCGAAACGGTGAATTCTACAATGGACATCATCACAGAATGTGTGTCAATTGCAATTCGGACCTTTCGAGAGGGTATCGCACATAATAACAGCTGTCAACATGTACCAATGATCCCGATAATCATGACAAATAGTGAGAATTCAACAAAAAATAAAAAATAAATTTTTCTTGGCGGCAAAATTGTGGTGATTGAAGTATAAATCATAGAAATTGCACATTTTCCAAGAAGCATGCAATACTCGTATAGAGAAAATGCAGTAAACATTACTCACGCCGAGTTAGACTGCACTCGAGCTATTCAAATATGAATTGAATTTTATAATGAAATTGCAGCATCATAACTTATTCACTCATTATGCATTCATTCATATGAGCGATGAGTCAGAGAATCATATTATTTAACGCCCACATTAATACATAAACATAAAATGTTACTCATCACAAAATTAAAACAACATGTAAATTAGAAATGATTTCATCCGTCTGCTGCACAACGTGATGATAATAATGCCATTGCGGTCATCCGAGCTCTCCACAACATTCTGGTCGTCGCCAACTCGGGTGAATTGAGTTCGAGATCAAAATTCAAGCTGCTGAAGTGAAGTAGAGAAGTGGAGCGGTTTGTTGAGCTGGGCGTGCGGGGCGGCACAACAAGAGTGCGCGCGGGATCGATATCAGGGTCACAGTCCTCAGCCAGCAGTGGAGTGCCGCCGCCGTGGATCGGAGTGGCGCCCTGGAATCGCTTCCCGCGCCCTCGAATGTAGGTCACGTGAAGGCGAGGCGGCGGCGGCAACGCATTTTACAGACCACCGCCGTCGTCCTGCGCCCGGGCAGGCAAGCAAAGAAGAGGAAACAAGAGCGGCGCGCACAGTATTCACCAGCAGTCCAAACGAATACGTTGGATTTTTTACAATTCGGGTGAGCGTCCAAACGACCACAGCAGAGAGACCAACAACCCGGAGAGAAGTCGAATAACGATGTCGTATCATGTATGATGCAGCATGTGTAGGTGGGACGTGCAGAGACATGAAAACGTTTGGGATGAGGTACAAAGTATCCAACATGGGATGCTGCGGTATATTGAAACATAAAACACGAACGAACCATATCTGCCAATTTAGAAGCAGTGGAATGTAACAAACTCCCACATAAATAATTTATCGCCAAAATAATCATGTCACCGTTTTTTCCTCTTTTTTAATACGGCAATATTTGAGATAACATCCGAAACATGCAGTATGCAAGGTTAACACTCCGTGCACCATATATATTTCCGCAAGCCGGGAGCGTTTTGTAGGGCACGCGCAAACATATAAATTCAGTTGTTTAGGTTCAACGAGAAGTTCTTGTTGTTGGTAGATAAACCCAGCGAATGGATTAGCTTTATCGCTCCATGCAAACCGCTCCCAGTGAGAACGTTGTGCTGCAACGTTTTGTTCGCGTTGTTCCCCAAATAAAGCCGGAAACGAGCCCGCAACGCTTTTTGTATTCAATGACTTTCCACTACTGCATATATGTATGCCCAGTGTCTGGAAGAACGCCGATAAAACTTTGATTTGAATCTGTTTTGGATCCACTTCTTTTCGTTGAGGTCGTTTACGCTAGATAGATTAGTTAAATCTAAACTTCTATCCTGTGCAGATTGAATGGTGGAATATACGAGTATATAGCACACGTTAAAAATGTAGGAGGTATTTGAGCAAAGCACTCCGTTGTGAACAAATGAAATAAATTTTAATTTCCTACGTTTTCGTTCATTGCGTGCGCGTGTTTTTCTTCCTGTTTCGGGAAGTTTGTATTTCCTATTTCGTTTTATTGCTTTTTTTTTCGCTCCATTTCTACCAATTTCCCGTATTTTATTAACATTGGCGCGTGCGACCCGCTGGCATCAAAATGTCTTCTTGTTTTCGGTTATTTAACATAACGGCTTCATTGTGTCACGATGTCACCTCGCCGGAAGCATCACATCTTGGATTACTTAATAATTTATACAGTTCCAGATAATCTGTGATTCAAAAACATCCAATTCGCATTTTAAGATGATTGGAATAAATTTATTCTACATCGCTAGGTGTATAATGATAAAATAGGAAAATTAATAATTTAAAGCACAATCTGTGCAGGATGCACCCAGGCTTGACATTTTCGGTCACATTGACAAACTGTGCGCTCGGCGAGTGTTGGTAAATAATGAATATTGTCAATTTGGAGCCAATCTTTTCCGGCTCCCCTCTTTTGCAGCAAGATCGGCTTAATCCTTAATTGCGTTAAAGGGGTTACGGCGTAATGAGAAAATGCCAAAAACCTCAAGAACTCCGATGACTCTTCTCCTTTCCGGGTTTAAAATGTCCATCATAATCTTTTATAATTTAGGCTGGAAACTTTTTGATGACTGCGTCTTTCGCGGCGTAATAATTTAGTTTGTTTGATTACCATCATGAATATTTCAATTTAAGTTGAGTGCAAATTATGTGACATTTTAAAATTTTATAGGAGACAGAGGTCCAGAGGCCAAAAATCAAGATAAAATTATAAGAAATCTTAATTTTAGATTATTTTAGAAGAACAAGTGAATAAAAATTACTAGCTTCAGAAAAATATATCGCATCACTTCATAAACTCCTACATATTACAAGAGTTCCGCATCGAAACCTTATTTATAATTCACAAAAACTTTCTGGTGCCTTGTTGCCCCTCTTCATTACATCCAACATGAGTCGACATTCGTCTCTAATACTTTACGTTACAAAGCTTGTGCTGCGTGAACAAACAAAGAATAATCTAATCTAATCGAGTGTATACCCTCGTGTGAATGAACCTCCGAAACTACTCGCAGAGAAAAAACATGCAAAACTGCAGCGAAGCGCAAGCAATCGACGAGGAAAAAATTCCCAAAGGTATCGAACGCAGTTGAAACTGACAAGTGGAGGCAACTCAAACAGGGCATGAACAAAACTGCCAAAACACGAAAGGAACGACCGACTACACTACGAATCAGGAATTCATCCAGCTCTACTTCCACGAGGAAGCGAAGAAAGAAAGAAAAGCGAATGCAGTCGCTCACACGAGTTGGAGAAACTGCAAGTTTGAAGTTGCAAGCACATATATTCCCAATTCACCATTCCCGGCGCCTCCACCGAACACAAAAACTCCGCAGGAAAGCTTTGTGCACTGTGTAACTAGATGCGACGTCTCGCTGGCCGGAAGAAAAGTTCATGCGGATGTGAAAAATCGACGCGATACATTACTGTCAAAACGGCGAAACTGAAACTAGATTAGGAGTCGCCGTTGTAGCCGGGATAAAGATGGCTTAGGGTCGAAAGTACATAATATGCATGAAATATACTTTTGTCTACGACTCCACATCTAGATCCAGTCCATCACGTCGTGATTTCGCAACAGCTTTATTTGATAATACAGCAAATATTTTCGGGAATAAAAATATAATAAAAGTGATGAATCGTTTATTATTATACAGAGAAAAAAAATAAAAACGCGAAATAAATGCAACTCAACCGCGAATTACGTCAGTGAGAAATAAATTTAACAGAAGCGCGGAAGCGGGTGCTCATTTAGGAAAAATTGACGCGTTGGAAAGCAGAAGAGTGGAATTCCACTAGAAACGGTGTACTGAAGTACTGAAAGACACGGAAGAGCGCCGAACAAAGGCAATTCAACAGCGGGGACAATTCACACACCCTGGAATAAAATCTTAACAAGGAAAAACTAAAATTAAATATAAAATTCTGACTAATATTATATAAGTGAATATTAGTTTGTTTGTTGCACACGCTCAAACCATTGAATTAATTTTGATAAATTTTAGTATAGAGATATATTAGACCATGGAAAATAAAATAGGCTACTTATTGTCGCATTAAAATAACTTTCAAAGTGGAAAATAAGGGATGAAATTAGTATGAAAATTCCATCATAATTATAGTTATCTAATTCAATCAGAGGTGGCGCTGTCGGCCCACAATAGG